TTCATCTTTGGCCTCTCTCTCTCTCTCTCTCTGTCCTCTGTTTTCCCTGGTCTTGCTCTGTTTCTGGCCGCTCAACCCAATCCTGCAACATGACGCAAACAGGCTGGAAAAGGAAGGAGAGATCTAAACAGGAATAAATGATTCGAAATATTTTGTAGCCAAAAATAATTCAATAATATCATTTACATATTATTATAGTATTTGTCAATATTTAGAATATTTAGAATTTTCAGTTTTCATTTGAATTTATTTGAATTGTTAGTACACTTTAAAAAATGCTGGGTTAAATACAACCCAGTGCTGGGTAAAATAGGGACAAACCCAGCAATTGGGCTGTTTTGACCCAGCGGTTGGGTTAAATGTTTAACCCAACCTTCTGGGTAGTAACCCAACTGCTGGGTCAAAACAACCCAATTGCTGGGTTTGTCCCTATTTTATTTTTATTTAACCCAGCATTTTTTAGAGTGTGTATTTATGTACTTTTGTCATTTTTCTTAAAAAAAAAAAACACAAAAGCTTTCGATTATCTTAATTTTAGTTTACATTTTATTAATTTTAGTACCTCAGCTCAAACTGATTTTCTTTCAGTTCTGTATAATAACTGTAACTCAAGTATATAGGCTATAGGGGTGAATTCAGGTTGACTGGGAGTCATTTCAATAGCAAAAAGTGTCCTAATCAACCTGAGTTCATGCTGAGCTATATATGAGTGGTATGACAAATCTGAGCACAGTTTGACAAAGTGTTGAGATCTCTTAGGAAACTCTAGAAGAGACATATGTCAGATTACTAGACTTTTCTCAGGGAGAAAAATCTAAGTAGCATATGTCAAGATGAATCTCAAAAAAAAAAAAAAAAAAAAAATTTAATTACATTTTTTTTTTTTTAAATTAAATTAAATTAAATTAAATTAAATTAAATTAAATAATGAAATGAAATAGTAACATCTAAATTAACTGGCTAGTAAAAAAATACTATTTAATATTGCTATAAGCAACATAATACATTAATTCTTTAACAAATATACATTGGTTAAATAAGGTAGAAATGCACTGACAACTGCAGGTTTAAAGTATTTGTTTTTAATTTTATCTCATTGCTGTGTGTTAAAAAAAAGAGTTGTTAACCAGATCTCAGATTAGATTTTTCTTACTATAAGAGTCACTTTCAAAACTTCATGAAGTCTAAATTGTGTTTTTTTCCCCTAACCAGAGAATGTGCAATAAGTGAGGTTTCATCTGATCTATTGGTACATTATCATTATGGGATGGTTAGTGAATGTCTGCCTAAACAACACAGGTTTTTTTCTATATTTTGATTTTGATTTTATTTGTTGTTGTTGTTGAAACTCCTCTACAGTTGGTCATCTGTCTTTTATTTTTGCTTGTAATTAGATAATGTGTCATTTTAGATTCGAGACCAGTTTAAAAACAAAAAATCAGCTCAGGACATCATACTGGAGCCATTCTCTTCCTATATATATCCCACCATAATTAATTGTAACTTCTGCAATGGGTTAGGATTATTCCTATGAGTCCAGCATGTGCGGTGTGTGTCAGCGCAGGTTAATTGTTTGTAACCCTGCGTCAGAGAGAGCAGTACTGTAACTGTCGTCTTGACCTCACGCTCCCTCATTTCACTGGAGCTCTTGTGAAATGTGTCCGAATCAGCCGAGCTTTGTTTGGCAGAGAGCCGAGTGACCTTCACTGAAAAACAGCCTGCTTTATCACACGCAGCACAAACGAAGAATCATCTGTTCCCGCTTATATGGAAAACCAGGGTTAATTATATTTATCTATTCTAGAAGACGGGTCACTTTCTGAAATGTGCTATGAATGTTAATTATAGAGACAGAAATGGTTGGAGCACAAGGTAAAATCAAAGTGCTTAAGATTACATCCCCCAGTACACTTTAGCATACTTTTAAAAAACAGCACTTCTTGTTAGTTGCAATTAAATGAAAATGTGTCATGGTTTAATTTATATTAGCCGAGTGACCTTCACTGAAAAACAGCCTGCTTTATCACACGCAGCACAAACGAAGAATCATCTGTTCCCGCTTATATGGAAAACCAGGGTTAATTATATTTATCTATTCTAGAAGACGGGTCACTTTCTGAAATGTGCTATGAATGTTAATTATAGAGACAGAAATGGTTGGAGCACAAGGTAAAATCAAAGTGCTTAAGATTACATCCCCCAGTACACTTTAGCATACTTTTAAGAAACAGCACTTCTTGTGGAAATAATACACTTTAAAGGACTGGGAACTGAATGTTTTTGGACACTTAGTTACATGTTAGTTGCAATTAAATGAAAATGTGTCATGGTTTAATTTATATTAAATGCAATTAGTTGATCTTTAAAGTGCTTTTAGTCCACTTAAGTGTTCTTCATAATTACTTCTGTTGTCTTTGAAATGTGTTTAATATACTGGCAAGCATTTATGATCAACTAAAATATACTTTCTATTGAACATTTTTGTTTAATACATGCATTTAAATACATTTAGAATTATACATTTGTAACAATGAAGTTGCAATTTAGAGCATTAAAAATGCATTAACCTTAAATGTAATATCAAATAACAAACTACAGTTAAACTGATAATCAAGTACTTTATATGTGCTTTAGTATGTTAGTCAGCATGTGCACTTCTTTAAAACATGACAAAAGATTAATAAACGATGATTTAAAATGTAGATATCACTTGTTACTTGTTGCTTTATAATGTCACTGAGATGAAACTATGCGGTACACTCTTAAAAATAAAGGTGCTTCAAAAGGTTCTTCAAGCGATGCCATAGAAGAACCATTTTTGGTTCCACAAAGAACCATTCAGTCAAAGGTTCTTTAAAGAACCATCTCTTTCTTACCTTTTTATAATCTGAAGAACCTTCTTTCGCCACAAAGAACCTTTTGTGAAACAGAAAGGTTCTTCAGGTGTTAAAGGTTCTTTATGGAACCATTTAGACAAAAAGGTTCTTCTATGGCATCGTGAAGCACCTTTATTTTTAAGAGTGTACAATATTCTGTCAGGTAACCTAAAATGTGCTTCATGGGGCTTTATTCGAATCAAAAACATTTAAGATTAGTGAATAAGTGTTTAATATATCCTAAATATAGCGTTTAAATAAGTTAAGCCTTATCTGATCAGTGCTCACATTGGCTTTATGGGATTTCAAGTGAGCATGAGTTTTTGCAGCCTAAGATACATGTACGTATATGGTGTTCAAGTCAGAAAAAAATATGACTTTATATGTCTGAATCAACCTGTCTATGCTGGGTTTAGCATTGTTTAAGGATTAGTTCATGTAGAAACAGCTTTTGAAGGTAATATGATCACTCGACGAGATGCTCTTCAGTCTTCGAGTGCAAATCTCTCTAAATCTTCCAGATTAATCCTTAAAGCCATAAACCTGCGAGTGGCTCTTAAGGAGGTGATTCTGCCTCTCATGGGCGTTCATTAGGAGATAAGGCATGTTAAGATCAGGAGATAAGACTGCGAGGAAGCCAGAGATCACTTCCCCTCCCCTCCCCTCCAACGCCTGCGTCTCTGTCTCTTTGAGCTGCGAGCGTGAGAAGGGCCCGAGAACGATCAGCCACCTCTTAATCTCGTCAGCTTCACCGCATGCACACATGCAAACACAGCGGCTCCTGATGGGCAAACACATCCCATCACACCCTCTGCCAACATATCAGACCGTCACGTCCTAAACGGAGTCTTCCTGTGGACTGCTTGGTTGTTACTGTGAACGTGAATCTGTGCTAGTGCTAGTATAAGGAGCCTTTTCAATTCCCATTATATGCTCTTTATCCAAAGCAACGTACAGTGCAGTCAACGTGTTCATGTTTCCCTGGGAATCAAACCCGTGGCCTTGATGTCTTACGTATAAAATGTCAAGAATAGGTCAGTTGCATCAGTCATATGAAGCAATATTTCGATTTATTTTCATTTTAATGATTCGATTTAAATGTAAATATCATCACATGAATTGCATTTCACGATATCCTGCAGAATAATCTCGAAGCAAAGACAAATGTCAGTTTTCCTGTTTCATACTGTAAATGTTTTTATGACACATATAGTGTATCTCATATTAATTTCATGTCGGAGGGTTTATGTATGTTGCTGTTATAATAATGTCATTGTGCTACTGGTTGAATTACACAAAACCCATCAAGAACATGACTGGGATCATATTTTACTTCAGTAACAAACGATGAACAGAAGACATTATATTTGTATTCAGAAAATGAAGCCTATTTATATAACAATTTAAATTTGTTTATTGTTTTTTTATTTTATATTATTTTTGATTGTTAATAATACAAGTATTATTATTGATTGATAATTATATGATTGTTTATTATTATAATTATTATTACTGTTGTTATTGTTATTATTATTATTATTTACTTTTTTGCATGCTACATTTTCATGACAATCAGTGCATACTTTATTTATGTTAATGTAAAAACATCAAAGTTACATATATATATATATATGAATAAATATCATCTATTTATAATTGGAATTATAGTGTAAAAATGTTTTTGAACTTATATTTATACATTTATTAGATGATAGAATGTGGTACTAAAAATATTTTTTGTCATTTATATTTCAAAAAATATCATTGGAGATATATTTTTGTTACTTAAAAAAAACTAATAATATTTGAAGTCTTTCTACTTAAAAAAAAAAAAAATGACATTTGATTTACGCTTTCTTTGTAATTCTTTGTCAAATCTACTAGCAATTTGAGAAAGTTGCTTCTACGCCCATTTTTTTTAGTGTATATTGTCAAAATGTTCTAAAACGTGTAATTATAGATTTATTATATTACCGTTTATCACATATATATATATATATATATATACTGTATGTATCAAAATATGAGTTATGAGCATGTTATACAGGATTCTTAGCATGGCACTGGTTTAAATGTACAGTTTTCAGATCAGTAAAGAAGTTACAGTGAAACGCAGCAGCTCTCTATTGGCTTTATGGATTTCGACAGGATTTTCACATTTCCCTCTGCTCTCCACTTCCTGTTTGTCTTCTGTCAGCGCTGTCTCCGTGGCTGATGTGTATGAGTGAGCACACAGGACCCCTAGAGAGAGTTTAGCTGTCTAAGCCCTGGCCCCATGTGGACGGCTTCAATAGCTGCAGGCTACAGTCTGCTCTCCTCTCACCGTCGTCCTCATCTGTCTGTTTGCTCTGCTGATGGGATCGTGTTATACCACGCTGCTGCCAGCTGAGGATGAGCCGTCATGTAATATCGCCAGTGATTCTCATCCTGCATCACTGTTATTGACATCTGCGGAAGGGTTTGTATCCTGCAGACAGCGTTCAGGTTTGCTTTGCTAAGATGAATCTGTCTCGTGGTGTTACCTGAGAAAATAAAAAAATACAGTCAAAATATTATAACACCTGGAAATATTGAGTCACTTTATTATAGAACTATAAACTAGATTTACAGAGCTCAATATAGAACTCGGAGTCAAAATCGAGTAAAAATTGTATAGAACTTGGAATTAAAAAAAAAAAAATAATAAATATATATATATATATATTATATGCCTTGCAACAATAGATTGAATATATTATCAACTGTATGGAATTAAGAGTGTCAAATTATTATAGAACTTGTAATTGTGTATTATATATTGAATCTGCAATTACAGGTTATATGATCATTTGACATTTCAACTCTAAATTCCATATACTAGAATTCTATATTCTAAATGTTATAGAACTTAGGTTCCTTATATTAGAGAATGTGGAATTAAAGAGTCTGAATATTACAGAACGTGGAACTATATTTATAGAATAAATATATTACAGAATGTAGAATTACATAGTTAATATATTATAGAACTTGGAATTATAGATTCAGTATATTATAGAATGTGGAATTAAAGAGTCTAAATACCAAACTTGAAATTGTAATGTGAAAATGTTATAAAACTCGTATTTACAGATTCAATATAGAATGTGGAATTATAGAGTCAAATTGTTATAGAACTAGGTTGATTATATTGCAGAATGTATGATTTTTTTTTTAATAATTAGTCAATTAAATAGTAAAGTACAATGTAAAATGTTACTGCACTCGGTATCTTAGATTCTGTCTATTACAGTATAAAATGTGAAATTATAAAGTTAAAATTATATGGAACTTGTCATAGATTCAATATATTACAGAAGGTGGAATTATAGAGTCAAAAATTAGTCAAATCGAAATCAAAATGACTCGAAAAACTTGTGGTTATAGGTTCATTATATTACAGAACGTGGAATTAAATAGTCCAAATATTGCAGAACATAGAATAATACAGTCCCAATTTTATATGAATGAAACTCACAGTATTAACACAGTATTATAGAACCTGGAATTACAAAGTCAAAATATTGTAGAATTTGGAATTAAAGAGTCTAAATATTACAAAACTTGGAATTATAGAATCAAATTGTAAAATAACTAGGTTGATTATATTATAGAATGTGTAATTATAGAGTATAAATACTACAGAATTTATGGAAATGTATAGAACTAAAATTAAATAGTAAATAGTAAATAACAATGTGAAAATGTTACTGAACTCAATATCATAGATTCAGACTATTACAGTATAGAATAAAGTTAAAATTATATGGAACTTGTAATTATAGATTCAATAGGTGGAATTATAGATTCAGAAATTTAGAGCTTGCCATTATAGATTGAATATAGAATGAAGTGAAGTGAAGTGAAGTGAAGTGACATGTGGCCAAGTATGGTGACCCATACTCGGAATTAGAGCTCTGCGGTTAACCCATCCTAAGTGCACACACACAGCAGTGAACACACACACACCGTGAACACACACCCGGAGCAGTGGGCAGCCATTTATGCTGCGGCACCCGGGGAGCAGTTGGGGGTTCGGTGCCTTGCTCAAGGGCACCTCAGTCGTGGTATTGAAGGTGGGAGAGAGCGCTGTACATTCACTCCCCCACCTACAATCCCTGCCGGTACGAGACTCGAACCCACAACCTTTGGGTTATGAGTCCGACTCTCTAACCATTAGGCCACGACTTCCTCCAATGTGGAACGTGGAATTATAGAGGCAAAATGTTATACAACTTGTGTTTATATATTACATTACGTTACGTTACGTTACGTTACGTTACGTTACGTTATATTATATTATATTATATTATAGAATGTGGAATTAAAGAGTCCAAATATTACTGAACATGGAATAATATAGTGCACATTTTATAAGAATTAAACTGTTATTATACAGTATTACAGAACCTAGAAATATGGAGTCAAAATACTGTAGAATTTGGAATTATAGACTCAATATCTCTCATAATTCACAGCTAAGTCTCACTACATTGTGACACTTCTCAATACTGTATACCTCAGTGGTTCTCAGCCAGAATAAGCAGCAGAAATACCAGAGGAAATATCATAGCCAGTGTGGGGCTTTTGAATGCTGTTTGTGTAAACGCTACTCATCCATAGAATTTGTGCAGCATTTTCATGCTCAGAACTGTGAGCGGCTCCTAAATGTGTGCGAGCGCTACACCTCTCTGGTTCTGCTCTTCAGACACACAGCTGTGGAGCTGTTCATGGTTGGGTGACACTTCTGCAGATCCCTCCCGCTCGCTCTGTTCAAACTCTCCCCCGGCCTTTATTACTGAAAAAAGCACGCCGTGCACATCTGTACAAATGAGAAAGAGATTAGAGGTTTTAATGGGCTCGGCCTTCCATGAATCTTGACTAAATCTTGAGTAATGTGTGTACACGCTACTGAAACGAATACAACTGAAAGCCTTTGTTGCACATCTAAAGCAGGTTTAAACACTCGCCTTGAAGGCTTTCCCGTCTTCAGACTGATACAGCTCATACATCAGTTTGTGTTACCATGCTTTATACCAGTGGTTCCCAACCCTGTTCCTGGAGGCACCCCAACACTGCACATTTTGCATGTCTCCTTAATCAAACACACCTGATTCAGGTCATCAGCTCATTAGTAGAGACTCCAAGACCTGAAACTGGTGTGTCGGAGAAAGGAGACATGCAAAATGTGCAGTGTTGGGGTGCCTCCAGGACCAGGGTTGGGAACCACTGCTTTATACCACTCTAGTTAGTATTTCAACCCAATCACAATTAGTAGAATCTAAATACTACCAAACTTGGAATTATAGCGTGAAAGTGTTCTAAAATGTGATCGATTTAATACATTGCGGTATAGAATGTATAATTATTAGTCAAAAAGTTATAAAACGTAGGCCTAGTTATAGGTCCATTATATTATAGAATGTGAAATTAAAGACTCCAAATAGTACAGAACATAGAATAAAACAGTCCAAATGTTATAGAACCTGGGATTTTACCGTATTTCTGGAATTTTGGAATCAATATACTGTGGCATTTGGAATTATGCACTCATTATGTCGTATAATTCACAGTTTATGTCTATGGATGGTGTCCCAATTAGTATACTGAATATCAGTTTTAATAAATGACAAGCAGTCAACTAGCAATGCTAATTAACTTAGCAATAACGTTAGTTGAAAGAAGAAACAGCAGCTGCAGATATCATGAACTACATCCCGCAGTCAATATGTAGGCTGCACTTTACACAGTGGATTGACACAAATAATGCACTAGCTTCCTCTGCTGGACAAACAGCGCTATTACAATTTGATTTTTCAAATCACTGTATTGCACACAGCATCAGCGACAGAATAAAACAAGTGAGTGCAAAATCTAAAACCGTGATTACTGAGCCTGTATTTCTGATCATATTGTCTCTGTAGGACCTGATTGTGGTCTAAATATGCTTGCCTGTATGATTTGGTTGATATAGTTGTGTACTGGTGGTGCTGGGTAGTAATTGATTACATGTAATCTGGATTACGTAATCAGATTCCAACAATCAGGTAGGCCTACTTGTAATTCGATTATATTACATTTTAAAATACTCGTAATCAGATTACAGTTACTTTTCATAGATTACATGAGTACATATTATTCACAAAATAGCAATAAACTATTCAGAATTTATTGATTCTCCCTAATTCTTCGTTTTGTCTTTTAGATGTTCCTTTCTAAAATAGAATACTGCTTATATACATTCGGTACAGATCAGTCTCTAGTCAGGTGGCTGTAATTATAATTATAAAACTGAGAGGTGACACAGCATTTGACCACTGGGTTTACAAAAATTATTTCTGTTTTAAGAAGCGTTTTCTCACCATTGAATAAACTACTGACGAACACATTCATGTTTGTTTGAATTATCACTCTGTGTTATTATCACGTTATCACAGTGATTTATTTAGCCTAAATGCAATGCCTTGCAAAAGTATTCATACCCCTTCATTTTTATCACATTTTGTTATGTTGCTGCCTTATGTTAAACTGCTTTAAATTAATTTTTCCCACATCAATCTACACTCCATAATGGCAAAGCAAAAAATAGTTTTTAACATCTTTGCAAATTTATTAAAGATAAAAAAGTAAAATGATTCCATTGCATAAGTATTCATTATCTGGGACAGTTGAAATTTAGCTCAGGAGCATTAATTTTGCTTGTAAACGTTACCACACTTTGAGTGAAGTTAACATGTGGCAAATGCAACTGAATGGGTATGATTTGGAAAGGCGCACGTCTTAGTAAAAGGTCTAACAGCTGAAAATGCATATCAGAGCAAAAACCAAGCCCTGAGGTCAAAAGAACTGCCTGTAGAGCCAGCGTTGGTAGAGCTCAGACAGGATTGCATCAAGTCACACATCTGGGGAAGAATTTAGAAAAAATTATGCTGCATTGAAGGCTCACAGAAGCATGTAGCCTCCATAATCCTTAATGGAAGAAGTTGGAAACAACCAGGACTCTTCCTAGAGCTGGCCTCCTGGCCAAACTGAGCAATTGATGGAGAAGGGCTTTGGTTTGAGTGGTGAACAAGACCATGATGGTCACTCTAGTTGAGCTCCATGATCATACGTATGTGGAGATAGGAGAAACCTACAGAAGGACAAACATCGCTGCAACACTCCACCGATCCAGTCTTTATGGCGGTGTCAATCCTCTCCTCAGTGAAGACACATGAAAACACACTTGGAATTTGCAAAAAAAAGCACCTAAAGGACCCTCAGATTCTGAGAAACAGGATTCTCTGGTCTGATGAACCTCAGTTCCAAGCATCATGTTTGAAGGAAACCAGCTCCGCTCATCACCTGCAGAGTACCATCCCAAAAGTAAAGTGTGCTGGTAGCAGCCTCATGCTGAGGGGCTGTTTTTCAGTGGCAGGGACTGAGGAACTCGTCAGAGTAGAAGAAACGCTTAGTGCAGCAAAATATTGAGATAGCCTTAATGCATTTAGATCCTCAGACTGGGCAGGAGGTTCACCTACCAACAGGACAATGACCCTAAGCACACAGCAAGAGTGGCTTATAGACAACCAGAGCCAGAGCCTGAGCTTGAACCCAATCAAATCTTTCTGGAGAAACCTGAAAATGTGGGTCTGCCCCCATCCAACCTGACAGAGCTTGAGAGGTGAAGAGATGAGGAGAAGAATGACAGATAACTGCCAAATGCTGATGAGCAAAGCTTGTCGCATCACACCCAAAAATACTCGAGGCTGTAAAGGTGTTTCAACTAAGTAATGTTAAGTGTTTTAATTTTTATGCAATGTTCTTATTTCGGGTTTTTTTTTATTTTTTAATAAATTTACAAAGTTGTGACAATTCAGTTTTTTTGCTTTGTCATTATGATGTATGGAGTGTAGATTGATGTGGAAAAAAGTCATTTAAAGCAGTTTAACATAAGGCAGCAATGAAATCAAATGTGAAAAAATGAAGGGGTATGAATACTTTCGCAAGACACTGTATTTTACTGTCTTTGGAAGACTTTTGTCTTACAAACTCATTAAAAGGCAAACACCAGTTTGGGAAACCTTGACGTAATATAACGTTTAATGCACTTCATGTTGTTACTAACAGCAAATGGAATATATTTTCTTTCTCTTTGCATTTTTATATCAATATGGTACAATATTATCCTATTTAATTAAATGTGATAAACAAGTTACATTAAAAGTCATCTAAAAGTAATCAAAAAGTAGTCTGATTAAATGTAATGTGTAATGTAATGGATTATGTTACTAACTACAATTTTTGCAATGCAACTTGGAATCAGCAACAGACTACAGTTTATAAGTAATCGACTCAGTACTGTGTACTGGGTTGAAACTGATGTTTGGTGTTAGCGGGTTTCTGAACCAGTAGACAGAGGGAGCTGCTTTTAGAAAGTGTATTAAAATGATTGTGTTCATGCAAAGTAATTTCAATACTTTGCACAGACATCTATTGTTGTTAAATACAGCTATTTACAAATACTATAACCTAAGACTACCCACAAATTATGCATGAAGCAGGTTATGTCAAATTTAGCTCACTTATACAGTTCTGTGCATAAAATACAGTTAAATACTGTAGGTACACACACACACACGCGCGCCATTTGTAAACACATTTTGAGGCAGGACTAAATAAACTAAATGACACTTGAAAACAGCTGGTGTGGTGTGCGGTTTCATTCATATGAAAATTCAATTCATTCCTCCTGCCTAACAGTCATGAATACAAACAGAGAGGTTCAGTTGAACATAGCTGGCCATGAATGAATAAAACCAAATTCAGAATTGTTATATTTTATTCATGGCCATTATATCCCTCTTTAAACCATCATGGAAACACATAGACTCCTGCAATCACAGCATGTGCTGCTAGTTTCGCCTGCTGAGAACCGTGTACGTGTTCACACAAACACAGCCATAACTGCTTGAGAAGCAGAGAGTGCTATTGCTTTTCTAAGTAACTAGCCATTGTTGCCTGGTCAACAATTTAGTCTCTTATTGGAGGGATTTAAACATTATAGAGACATAACTTGAGTTAGAAAACAACCTAGCAACCAGACAATACACCATAGAAACAGCACAGAAAAGTGATAGCAACCACTAAGAATGCATTAGCAACCAACTTAACAATGGCATAGCAACGCCACGATAGCCATTCACAACATGCTTGTAACTGTATCACAACATGCTAGCCAAGATCAAAAGATTCAACACTGTGACAACAACCCACAACTGTATTGTAATGTGCTAACAAGATTTAAAATAGCCAGAGCATCTTAGTAACTGCATAACCAAACTCTGTCAACCACTCACAAAACCCCTACAACCATGCTGCAACACGCTAACAAAAACCAAAAGTCAAAACATCTCAGTAACTGCAGAGCAACACCCTTACAACCACTCATAACCTGCCAGCAAACCCACTGCAACATGTTAACAAGACTCAAAAAAAATCGGAACACCATAACATCTGCATAGCAACACCCTGACGACCAATCACAATACCCCACCACAGACACATTTCAACATGTTAACAAGACTCAAAAACAATAATAACACCTTAGTTACTGCATATCATCGACCTGACAACACATCCACAACAAATCTGTAACATACAAGATTCTAAACAGTCATAACACCATGGCAACTGCATAGCAACACCCACAACCACATTTCAACATGAAAACAATGCTCAACACAGTCAGACACCTTAGCAACTGTATAGCAACATTCTGACAAAACTCTAAATAGTCAGAACACCTTAACTGCATAGCAACGCCCTGACAACCAATCACATGCCAGCAACCACATCGCAACAAACCAACAAGACCCAAAACAGTCATAATATCTTGGCAACCGCATAGCAACGCCCTGATAACCACTCACAACATGCACATGCTAACAACACTCAAAAACACCCAGAACACCTTAGCAACTGCATAGCATCAACCCAACAACACGTCCACAACTAAACTGTCAAATACTAACACCTTAGCAATGAAAACCACTCACAACACCCCACAACCACATTTCAACATGCTAACAATACTCAAAACAGTCATGACACCTTAGCAACTGCATAGCAATGCACTGACAACCACTCACAACACCCCACAACCACTCTGCAACATGCTAACAATACTGAAAACAGTCATAACACATTAGCAACTGCATAGCAATGCCCTGACAGCCATTCACAACACCCCACAACCACATTTCAACATGCTAACAATACTGGGAAAAAATCATAACACCTTAGCAACTGAAAACCACTCACAACACTCCACAACCACATTTCAACATGCTAACAATACTCAAAACAGTCATGACACTTTAGCAACTGCATAGCAACACCCTGACAACAACTCACAACACCCCACAACCACATTTCAACTTGCTAACAATACTCAAAACAGTCAGACACCTTAGCAACTGCATAGCAACGCCCTGACAACCACTCACAACACCCTATAACCACACTTCAACTTGCTAACAATACTCAAAACAGTCATATTCCTTAGCAACCACATAACAACGCCCTGACAACCACTCACAACACTGCACAACCACATTTCAACGTGCTAACAATACTCAAAACAGTCATATTCCTTAGCAACCACGTAACAACGCTCTGACAACCACTCACAACACCGCACAACCACATTTCAACGTGCTAACAATACTCAAAACAGTCATATTCCTTAGCAACCACATAACAAAGCCCTGACAACCACTCACAACACCTCACAACCACATTTCAACGTGCTAACAATACTCAAAACAATCAGGACACCTTAGCAACTGCATAGCAATGTCGTGACAACCACTCACAACACACCATAACCACATTTCAACATGCTAACAATACTCAAAACAATCAGGACCCCTTAGCAACGGCATAGCAACCCCATGAGTCATGACATCCACTCGCAACACCCCACAACCACATTTCAACATGCTTGCAATACTCAAAACAGTCACACACCTTAGCAACTGCATAGCAACGCCTTGAGAACCACTCACAACACCCCACAACCACATTTCAACATGCTTGCAATACTCAAAACAGTCACACACCTTAGCAACTGCATAGCAACGCCTTGAGAACCACTCACAACACCCCACAACAACATTTCAACATGCTTACAATACTCAAAACAGTCATGACACCTTAGCAATTGCATAGCAACGCTTTGAAAATGTGTAAAATGTCCACTCAAAGCAGCTGGCTGCATGTGTTGGTAAAGGACATTGTGTGTGAAGTGGAAGTCATTTGGATTGTGTTCTCAGAGCTCTGTTCTCTTTGTCTAAACCCATTTACACATTCAGCGACACAGAGAGGATGTTCGATGCTCAACAATAGCACTATTGATCCATGTGTTAAAGGCCATTTTCCCACTCACTACACTTTCAGCTTTGCTGTCTGGGGTCCTGAGCTATTTTCGCCCGTCTCCCCATCTACACCCCCACTCTTCCTCCTCCGTCGCTTGTCATCATCCCTCCATCACAAGTGCCTCCATTCTTCATGCTGCTTTCAGGCGCTCAGAAGCATGACAAACGGGTGCATTAGCGGGCTAATTAAGGGAGATCAGGGAGTAAGAAAGTCTTATGAGGCACCCAGGCGTGGCTTTCCAAATGAAAGCGTCCGTAATTTGCATGAGAGGTAATTGAATTGCCTGCAGTGAGAGGTGAAGTGAGTGGGAGGGGAACGCGATGGAGAATCTGTGCAATAATATTCCAGAAAGCCCCTCTCAAACTCTACATGCCAAGGGTTTCACGTCAAATGTTTGGTTGGGTCCTGGATTTTACTGGAGATAATGGAGCTTCTTGCCTGTGTTGAGCAAACATGCATTCTGTGTGTATATGGCAGCAAAATTTGCCCCAGAATTGACTTTCAGAGGCCTTTTTTACCTTTATATGTACATATTTTTTATAAGATACATTCCCTGAAATACTGAAATAATAGATTTACAACTATTAAAAATAAAGTAAAATCATATGAATAAAAAGTGGCTTTAAATAATATACAACATACCATAACAGAAAGTAAAAATTAATTTTCAAACACTAGTTTATGTTTACCCATTAAGCATACATTTTCATTTCTGTAATTTGCTTGAAAAATTAGGTAAAATTAAGCATCCATTTATCTGTTCATTTTTCATACTATTATCCTACCCTTGATTGTGTTTGTTTTGTTTTGTTTTGTTTTTACTAGTTTCACTAGGATAACAACAAATAAACCTGAACTTAGTCAAAATTACAGTGAAAAAAAAAAGAGTGGGAAAAAAAAAGTAAGATTGGAATGTCCCTTTGAAAATACATCGATGTGGGCTCAATGGGAGCATATTGGGCTAAAATAGTACAAAACAACTAAAAATAGATAAAAACTCATATTTTTGTGACACATGTACATTTTACATACATATACTTTTAAATGTTACAATATAAAAAGGCATATAGGGTTAAAATAATATACTTGCTTGTGCATAGAAAGTAACTATTAGTGCATAAGAAATAGCCTAAATGTTCATATTACTCCTGTTGGGTATTTTTACTTTTATTAATTTTTTTTTGTTTTATTTGTACTCAAGCGCAAATTTCTAGAAGCCTGTTTCCACCTTGGGATAAAAAAAGTTAAATAAAACCGTAATTGTCACGGTTTCACTCAAGGAGCACGGGAACGAAGGAGCGAGGAGACGAGGAGTAATGCAAATCAACAGGTTTTAATGAAGGCACACTGGGGATCACATGGAACACTGGAAACATCAAGCAAACAAAATGACATTTAACAGCAGACGCCAAACACAGGGTTTAAATGCACAGAAACGAATGGGACAAACCTCGGAACAATACGAACTAAACGGGGAACACCTGGACTAAATGAACATACGGACAGGAACAGGAAGGACCAAATAAGGGTAGAAACATAAACAGAGCACGTAGGGGAGGAAAACACACACAAAACACGGAACAAAGTCTGACATAACTCCCCCCTCCCGGAAGGAGGGGGGGTGGGCACTCTGGAGGACCCTAAGGACAGACTCGGGACGGCAGACCTCCAGAGCGGTACCCGTTCTGGAACCCATGGCGGATCCGGTGTTCTGCCGATTTGTGCTACCCTGTCAGATTTTGCTACCTCCCATTAAAACAGTGGGTAGTACAATTCAACAACGAAAAATGCTACCTGTAAAATTATGGTTTATTAACGTCTACACCTTCCACAAACCTAAACCTACGCTTACAGTAATGCAAATACAGTAATTATGTGTTATATTCGCGGTTGTAGATAGAAGGGATACAGCTACAGGAAACCAACAATAAAAAAAAACTCTACCTATTAGATTGTGTTTTATTAAAGTCTACACCTACTCCAACCCTAAACCTACCCTTACAGTAATGCAGATAAATTAAATATTGTTGTTCAGCATGAGAAAAAGGATGCAATATGCGCAGTAAACCCTGGTAGGACAATCTGACGGGTAGGATAAAATGTCAGGACACTGGCAGTTCGTGGCAGGCAGGCAGCTCGGAGAGCCATGGCGGATCAGACAGTTCAGGAGGCCATGGCGGATATGGCGGATCAGACAGTTCAGGAGGCCATGGAGGATCAGACAGTTTGGGGCGCCATGGCGGAGCATACCGACCAGGGAGCCACAGCGGGGAGAGCCCATGGCAGAGCAGGCAGCTCCGGGAGCCATCAGACAGTTCAGGAGGCCATGGCGGATCAAACAGTTCAGGAGGCCATGGCGGATCAGACAGTTCAGGAGGCCATGGCGGAGCAGGCAGCTCAAGGGACCATGGTGGAGCAGCCTCTGAGACCGCGGCCCCAGCCCCCACCCCGGCCTCTACGGCTGGAGCCCTACTACCCCCCGAAAAAAAATACTTGGAGAGCATAACAGGTTCCGAAGTCCTCTCGGGGCTTAACTGGGGATCAGGAGCCCTCCCTGGGCTTAACTGTGGATCAGGAGCTGACACTGGAGCGAGCTCTGGGACTGGAGCCGACACTGGAGTGAGCTCTGGGGCAGAAACCGCTTTAGAGGCGAGGATGAGGGCTGCTAGCAGTCTTTTCCTCCTCATCCCACTCTTACGGTTGGGGGTGATTTGGGTGGCCGGCGGGCTTGCGGCGGTCGGCGGGCTTGGGTCAGTGGCGGCTGGCGGGCTGGTTCTGGAACGGGGCCGGACACTCTCCAGACATCGGAGGAGCCCTTCCCTCCAGCTCAGTCCTGTGGTGTCTGGGAGGTCCATGGGGCGATAGTAATTGGCCCCGATCCAGAACAGAGAGTTGAGTGACGCGTCATCCAGAACCGTACCCACAGCAAGCCACTCCCGCGCATACTCCACAAACAGGAGATCTCTGCGGGCTAGGGCTTAACTTTCAAAAAACGAAAAATAAAAATGGGGAGAAGGGGCGCCACTTACTTTTTGTTAGTTCTGCTGTTCTGTCACGGTTCACTCAAGGAGCACCGGAACGAAGGAGCGAGGAGACGAGGAGTAATGCAAATCAAGAGGTTTCAATGAAGGCACACTGGGGATCACAGGGAACACTGGAGACATCAAGCAAACAAAATGACATTTAACAGCAGACGCCAAACACTGGGAAACACAGGGTTTAAATGCACAGAAACTAATGGGACGCACCTGGGAACAATATTAACTAAACGGAGAACACCTGGACTAAATGAACATACGGACAGGAACAGGAAGGACCATATAAGGGCATAAACATAAACAGAGCATGTAGGAGAGTGTTACGGCCCAGAACCAAATTTGGCTCATTTAAATCACAATAGGCCTGGACCGAACATATAATAAATCACAGACGCTTGATATCATCTTTAGTAGACATACTCGCCAAGTTTTTATCAAACAAAAAAAGGCAAATAAAATATCAGAACAGCTACACCTGGCCACCTGGAGAGATCTTACCTAGCTCCCGTGAAAAAAAAACAAACAAACAGGTGAGTCTTGCGGGCCACTGCTTCCCTAGCTGAACTTACTAAATAACAAAACGTGACCAACAAAGAAAACAAATCCACTATCTGCTACTGAAAACAGACAAAGCAAAAATAAACGTAAGAACGAACTAACCACAAAAAGTTAGCAAAGTTGGGCTACAAAAGAAACCAGAAAACTTAATGTAGCCAAAAAAAATAAGCAAAAGAAAGAGGAGAGGTGATGAGCAATCTCGCCGTGAAGCGAGAGACCCAGCGAACAAAAGCAGAGAGAGAGATCCGCCATCGAGGTTTAAATAGTAGAAATCCCAGATGATGTCACTCCACTTTCGAGGATCCAGGAGAATTCCCCCGCTCACAACTCCACCTAAAGGCTAAGAAAAAAAAACATCACACACGGAACAACTGCTCTACGAGCAGACCCACGTAACACCCTCACATTTAAGTGAATAAATTGTAGAGGGAAGAAAAAAAAAACATCTTACCTCAACTGTAAACTACAATTTATTCTATTCAGATTCGGGATAAAGCGTCAGCAATGATGTTATCCTTACCACGGATGTGCCCTATGTCTAATTCAAAAGTCTGTAGAAACAGACACCATCACATCAGACGTTGATTGTTATTTTTCATCCAATTAATGAAAAGTAAGGGATTGTGATCCGTGTAGACGATCAACAGGTACGAAACTGAACCAATATAAACATCAAAATGTTGAAGAGCAAGGACAAGGGCGAGCGCCTCCTTCTCGATGGTGGAATAACCTCGTTGATGCTTGTTAAATTTACGCGAAAAATAACAAACAGGATGCTCAACACCAGCCAAATCTAATAGTAGAAGGATAGCTCCTGCACCAGTGTCACTTGCATCAACAGCAAGAAAAAACGAAGTGGAAAAATAGGGGCAGATAAAACAAGGGAATTAACCAGAAGTGCTTTAATTTTCTCAAAACTCACCTGACAGTCTTCAGACCATTTAAATGGTACTTTTGGACTGAGAAGGTCAGTTAAGGGTGAGGCAACAACAGAAAAATTTCTGCAGAAATTTCAATAATATCCCACCATACCCAAAAATTGTCCAAGTTCGCGACGCGTAGTGGGCACGGGGAAACGAGTGATTGCCTCCACCTTGGACTCAACAGGTCGAACTTGTCCACCACCAACAACTTTCCCTAGATAAGTCACTGTTGCTCGACCGAATTCGCATTTTGCCAAATTAACCGTGAGATTGGTACCAGACAAACGATCAAACAATGTCTCAAGTTGCATTACATGTTCCGGCCAAGATGCGCTGTCAAGAACCAGGTCATCCAAATATACCAGTCTCTGAAAAGTTGCCGGTGCGTTTCGAAGACCGAAAGCCATCACCGTATAATTCAGAAAATGATCAGGTCTAACTAACACGGAAATCTCTTTCACACGAGCCGTCAAAGGTACCTGCCAGTAACCTTTGAGCAGATCGATCTTGGTAACGAAAGCGGCGTTTCCAACACGATCCACGCAGTCTTCCATATGAGGCAAAGGATAACTGTCAGGTTTTGTAATAGCGTTAACGCGTCTAAAATCAGTTCAGAAACGAAACGTGTTGTCTGACTTTTTAACCAGCAAACAGGGTGAACTCCAAGGACTAAAACTCGGCTCAGCAATGTTATTTTCGAGCATGAAGTTTACCTCTTTTTGCAGCTGAATTCGCTTCTCTGGACTTACCCTGTAAGCATGCTGTTTTATTGGCAAAGACTCACCAACATTAATATCATGCTCGACCAGTGAAGTACGCGAAGGAAGATCCGAAAACAGGTTACAATGAGTTTTAATGGCATTACTCACATCAAATTGTTCGGCAACAGACAAATGGGAAAGGTATGAATCAAGGTTTTGGATTATTTCCAAGTTTTTCAATCTTCCCGCCACTAGTTCAGCAGCAGGAAACTCAACATCCTCTTCCCCCTCAAATGTGCACGGAGGAGCAACAGCGCTATCAGTAAAGGTTGCAATGATTCGGCACTGGACAGCGCTCGATGATCAGGTAATTCAGCACTGGACAGCACCTTCACGGTCAACGGAGCATCTGTGGGTGACAAAATTAAAACAGCCGACTTCTGTACAGACACATCTGACGGTCTTTCGAAGTACGGCTAAAGCATGTTAATATGACATAGTCAAGTTTTTTTCTTTCGGTCAGATGTAGTGATCACATAGTCAAGTTCACTCACCTTTTCTTTCACAGGATAAGGGCCATAATAGTGAGCCTGCAGTACAGACCCCGGCACTGGCATCAGCACTACTACCTTATCACCTGGAGCAAAGCTACGAAGTTTAGCACGCTGATCAAAACGCTTTTTCATTCGTTGCTGAGACACTTCCAAATTCTCTTTGGCCAACTCACATGCACGATGCAACTTAGAACGGAACTCTGAAACGTAGTCAAGAATGTTATTGGGACTTGGGTCACTAGACCAATTATCTTTGATCAACTTCAACGGTCCACGAACCGTGTGCCTGAAGACCAGCTCAGCCGGACTGAAACCCAGCGACTCCTGCACTACCTCCCTTGCTGCAAATAAAACCATAGGCACACCATCGTCCCAGTCTTTTTGGAACTCCAGACAAAACACACGCAGCATTGATTTTAAAGTCTGATGAAACCTTTCCAGTGCTCCCTGGCTTTCTGGGTGGTAACAACTGGAATTGCAATGTTGGATATGCAGCTGATTCAAAGCCTGTTTAAACACACGTGACATAAAATTTGTTCCTTGGTCCGATTGTACAGTGCGTGGAAGGCCAAACAATTAAAATAATTTGATAAGTGACTTCACAATCACTGGTGCTGTAATTCTCCGCAGAGGAATTGCCTCCAGAAAACACGTAGATGTGCACATTATGGTAAGCAAATATTGATTACCAAACTTCGAACGAGGTAAGGGAACGACACAATCCACTATTACACGCTTGAATGGTTCACCAATAGCTGGAATAGGATGTAATGGTGCTGGTGAAATATTCTGGTTCGGGTTTCCAGTCACTTGGCACACATGACAACTTCTGCAATAGTTTGCTACATCACTCTTTAAGCCAGGCCAGAAAAAATGTCGGAGTATGCGATCGTAGGTTTTATTAACTCCTAAATGACCGGAAAAAGGACTGTCATGCACGAGATCCAAAATTTCAGGTCGATATAAAGAAGGAACTACTATTTGCTTGACGACTTGCCTTTCATCATCAGCAGTTGCAGTTGTTGGTCTCCATTTCCTCAACATGCCACCTTCAACAAAGTATCCTTGAGATACATGTTCGAGTTCCTCAGCAGGAACAACAACTTCAAAGAGGGATGACATTGTTACATCTTTCCTCTGTTCATCAATAAGCTGCTCGCGTGACAGAGACAACTTATCAAATTCCATAAAATGTTCATTCCCTTTCTTAACATCGATGTCTGAACCATTATTAGAGTTTGAACACTTACCCTTAGAAGAATCTGAAGTAGAGAGAGACGTATCTTTCAAATCAAAGTCCCACTCTCCTTCTAACTTAAGACTCTCATCTTTCAGTCTCTGTGCCAGTGCGAGTAACAGCGCACGAAGGAAATACCTCTGGGTATTTCTGATTCAATTCATCAGGAGTAGAACAGAGAAAGGGAACATCAGTTACCTCAGGGCTGGCAACAACTTTCCCTCCTGTTAAGTCATTCCCTAAAATAAATGTGACATCTCGAACGGGAAGACATGGTCGCACACCAACAACAACACGCCCAGCAACAAGGGAGGAATCAATTTCAATTTCGTGCAAAGGCACATACCCCATACTAAAAGGCTTGAGCCAATAGAGCTCTTATCAGACAAAGGTAATACTCCTTCTAGAATAAAACTCTGAGCAGTGCCAGTGTCACAGAGGATTTTAACAGTTAGAGCTACCTACCAAAGACACAAATCCATCCATAATGAACGGCACATATCCCTGTTCCTCACACATGTCAGCTTGCGAAGCTAACACCTCCAGTCCTTCCAACTGTGGCGAGGACATCATCAATAAACCTACTGGTTTTGGGACACTATTTTTCCTTTTCAACACATTACATTCTGCAATAATGTGTCCACGTTTTTGCAATAGAAACAAACAGGTGAAGACACGGACTTGGAACTCTCCACCGCTTTATCTGTTGACAAAGCAACCTCAAAATTACACCTTGGAGACTGGCGACTACTGCTATTGGGCAATGATTTTTGGGGAAAACTAAACACATTCTTATGCATAAGAACATATTCATCAGCCAAGGCAGCAGCAGCGGAACATTTAGGAACTTTCTTTTCTTTAAGATTAAGGTTGCAACACGTTCAGGAAGACAGTTTTTAAATTCTTCTAAAAGAATCAATTTGCAAAGTCCTTCAAACGTTTTCACCTTCAAAGAAGCGCACCAGCGATCAAACATTGATTCTTTTTCATGAACAAATTCAACGTAGGTCTCAACATCTGTTTTCCGATAATTGCAAAATTTTTGTTGGTAAG